TGTTGGTCAGGTTTGGGTCACCTGTCTGCTTTACTCCCTGCAGGTGTGACCTTTTTCATGCTTGTGACCCTTTTCACTCCTGGCACCCCAACACGGAGTACGAGATCTAGCAGTGACCTTGGTCACTATAAGAACAAGTACAAGCAAGGGCCTCTCTGCATCCCATTCCTTGGTACTAACTATAAACACCAGGCCTTATCACTGCTGGGAGCAGTCACTGTCTGGGAAAACAGGCTGCTGTTTCAGAAATTGCTGTTAGTTAGAAGAGACTTAACTGAAAAGTTAAAAGCACTAAACCAGAAATAGTTCTGGTTTAGCCCAAACCAGGACATTGGGTTTTTTTTCAAATCTTTGCATAGTTAATTTATTTAATGGTAAAAATATATATAACATGAATTTAGCAGCAAATTATTTAAGAAAAAAATAGGAAAAAAATACAGGTAGTTGATTCAGCTATGTGATAAGACGTTTGTTTCAGGATAAGATGGAATTAGGTTTTTGTCTTTGTAAATGTCATGGTTCCCTGAATTGTTGATCTGTCCTTCAAAAGCACTAAGTGAGTTAATTTACATTTTTTAAAAGGATAAAATCTTTCTTTGTAACGGGTAGTTAAGGGATTTGAGGCATAGAAATTCTTCCTTTTTTTTATGGTAACCAGCATTGCAATTTAATTTGACAGGGACTTCGCTACTCTCCCCAGAGCATTACTGGAGGGGATTCAGAATACCTTGACTTTGGCATCTGGAGTGCTTTGTTATGGACAGGAGTTTTTCTTTTGGTGTAACTCAAATATGTACTGTCAGCAGTGTTGCTGTTGAGGCTGGGTTATTGGTCACATAATCTTAGGAAAGTTTGGAGCTTGATACTGAATATACCAGTGAGATGTATTTTATAAGCCTCAGTAAGAAAGAGGGGTTGGACTAATTGTTTATGTCAGGCCCCATGGAGCGTATGTTTGTTAGAAAAGTCTCTTTTTTGGTGGCAGAGCCTTATTGTAAACATTATTTTTTTTGTAGGTATGGGAACTGACTGCTAACAATGTCATCATGGTCTCTGCTATTGGCAATGATGGCCCTTTATATGGGTAAGTTTCAATGACCACTTTAAGGAAAAGCAAGTATGTTGTTGTTACACGTTTTTGTAAGTAGTTGTGCTTGGTCAGGAAGTTTGCCCTCCTCCTTTTTTCTTTAATCTGTTTATAGAAAGTGGCTCAAGTTAAACTCTTTCTGCTGTCTTTATCACTTGCTGTAGTAGTACAGCAATTTGTAAAGTACCTAGCTAAATATTTTTCATTTGAACAGTGGAAAGTCAGTAAAAGAAGAATGACAGTATTTCCAGCTGACATTTCACTGTCAGTGTGAGCAGACATCTTTGGGTACTGATCTTGGGCTTAAGGAATAAAGAAGGGATCAAGCCAGAATGATTTGCGGTATATTTCTTAAATAAATGCCTAAAAATAGATTTTATTTAGTCTTCAAGATATATGGTTTGGTAGTTACTGAATTAGTTACTGGGTTACTAACTGCCTGAAAAGTTGCTCTTGCTTGTAAAGTGTAACTGTCAGGTAGGACCCAAATTTTTTTCTGATGGCAGCGTGTCTGTTGTCAGGATAAACTTACGACTGCGTCTGTTTTTTTGGTCTTCCTCTCTCTCAACTTGTTCTAGGACTCTCAATAACCCTGCTGACCAGATGGATGTGATTGGAGTAGGTGGCATTGACTTTGAAGATAATATAGCTCGCTTTTCGTCTAGGGGAATGACCACTTGGGTAAGATCCTTTGACAATGGACAGCCACATCTGCAGCCAAAATAAGGGCCTTGGAAAGGGAGCCTGTTTTGAAGGGCTAATCTGTGCAGATGATGTGTGTGGAGTAACCGGTGATAAAAGATTTCATCAAAGATCAGAATAGTTAGAGATTTTAAGTCTTTAAGCAGGAAGCTTAGTGTTCTTTGCAGGGGTTCTCATCGTTACTTTTGACCACTCCACTATTGACATTCTTGATGTATTTGTAAAATGCCCAGTACCTTTTGGTTTACAGTGAGGACTTGCCTGTGTAGTTAAATCTGCAAAAATGAAGGTCTGCTCTCGTCCTTCCTTTAGTTTAAAAATCCTGGGATTTCCAGATGCCACATGTCAGATTGCACTTACTTGCCTGTTGAACTGAGTGACGGGTACTGTGCATGTGATTTCAGTTGGGAGTGCATTGTGATCTTGATTAAGGGGACTATTAAATGTTTCTGCTTGTGCTGCATCTCATTAGACAGGTAGGAGTGTGGTTATCATTTGGTCACTGGTTTCATGCTTAGCATGGATACTACAGTAATCAGCAGGGATGCTGACGTTAAAACACGGAGAACTTGTCATAAACAGCCTGAGTCCTTCTTTCGGTGTTACTTGCTATTCCGTGATGCTGAACCTCAGCTATTTAGTTGGTAATTTTACTTCTGAATGACCTGCAGTTTGTTTAAATGCCCAAATGAAGGAACAAGCGTTCATTATGTATTAGGGCAATAATCCTTATGTTTTCTTTCACAGGAGCTGCCTGGAGGTTATGGTAGAGTGAAGCCTGACATTGTTACTTATGGCTCTGGAGTGAGAGGTTCTGGTATGAAAGGTGGATGCCGCTCTCTCTCCGGGACAAGTGTAGCATCTCCTGTGGTGGCAGGTGCTGTTACTTTGTTAGTAAGGTAAATCTTAAATAAGAATCTCTAAAAAGATACTGATGCAGGGCGGTCATAAAAGGCCCTTAGAGGAACCCACCACATAAAACTAAATTGTGTTTAAGTATAGGAAGACAAACATGGTGGATAAAATCAGGGTTCGTCTGCCCGTGACATTACTTTGTCTGCCTAGCTGTAAATTTCCTGGGAAAAACTTGAGAACTGTTTTGATTGATAGTTACATCTTTGAAAATATAACTAGAGAGAACAGTACTACTAAGTAACTTTGTCACATTTTTCAGTCATTTTGAATTGCTGACCTTCAGTCAATTGTGTTGTAGAAGAGCAGCTGCTCGCAGTAGGCACCTGTAGCAGATAATTATCTAAGTATTTGTAAAATTTTGTAGGATTTAGGGTTTTGTGGCTACCCAGTTGTGTAAGTCATCTGTTGCACACTGAAGAACTTGAAAGTGGGAGTTGCAAGTCTGTACTTTGTGTTTGTCATTGCTGCTACATGAGGAAGAGACAATCCTTTATTTGAGAAACATGCCAAAAATTCAAAGTCATCATCGTATTTCCTCCATAGAACGGTGTGTTTTTCTTTGAACAACAAAGCTATTCCCCACCCGCCTGCTCCCTCACCCTGGAAGAGTCATGTTGTGAAAGATACCATCAAGTTTCCAGTTACAGAGGCTTTGATTTTCAGAATATTTTATTTAGCATATAAAGATACTGCCCTGATTGTAATCACTGCTGGTCACGGAGCACATTGTAAGGAGAAAAATCAATGTAATACTAGTTTTAAGCGAAATGTGTCAGGAAGTTGTCACTGTTCTTCAGCTATTCCACTGAGAAATCAAGTAATAATAGGCGAATGTGAACAGAAGATGTTACTCACAGCAAACTAACTTTCAATTGCATTTTCTTTAAATCAAATGACTGTTAAGGCAGAATGGTAAACAAGACTAGCTAGAAACTAGAATAAAGGCCACCTGATGTAATCTATTGTTTCCTATTTCAGCACAGTTCAAAAGCGTGAAATGGTGAATCCAGCAAGTATGAAGCAGGCACTTATTGCGTCAGCACGTAGACTTCCTGGAGTCAACATGTTTGAACAAGGACATGGCAAGTTGGATCTTCTGAGAGCTTATCAGATTCTCAACAGCTATAAACCACAGGCCAGGTTAATTTTAATCCTTAATCAATCAATGATACACTATAACCTGCTGTAATTTTCTTAAGAGAGCAGGTGATGCATGTGTAACTCAGTTGAGCAATCTGTGCTTATGCAACAAAGAGAACTTGCACAAATCTTATGTAATCCTGAAGCATGAATTTTGACAAGAGAATGGATGAAAAGTCAAAGTATTTCCTGCCCAGGTTATATTAGTG